CATTTAGGCTTTGAGCTTCACCCAGTTGCAAACAGAACTCTTGTTTAGGCAGTGACACTTGAAAGTCATTATCTTGTACAATCCTAGCACTGTTATACCATATAAGAAATACCACAAAGCATATAAACCCAAGGATGAAGCTTAACACCCCAGTCCTTTGTGATTACAAATGCCATATCAGTAAAAGGAACTCGAGAAAACATGCATAACACACCATGACCACCTCAGATTCTAGTAATAAATCAAGCAGCTGAGCATTCTCATTTGACCAGGCAACCACTAGTGATTCTGGATATGGAACAGATACACTGCAGTACCTTTTCATGATGAGAAATTCTACCAATGTGCTTAACCAGAGATATGGGGCTGTACCTGTATGGTGCTGCTTCAAATGCAATCATTGTATGAAATGGTTTGTAATTCTATCCCCAATGTGTTGTGGGGAGGAGGAGAGGGGGTAGATTTACTAAACATTTCCCTCCGGCTTACTTGTCTCTCACCTATTTACTCCAATCTCCTCTGATCTTCCCTGCCACGCATTTGTGTTTTCACAGACCTGCATGTTGCATATTGGCTTAAACTTCTGTTCCACCCAGGAGAGCACGCAAACACCAGCAGACTCTCCCTATGCCTGAAGAAGGGTGTTTGTGCCTGCAAGCTTGTAAAAAACATTTTTTCCAACCATTTCGTTAGTCTAATAAAAGATATCACATTTACCCAAAGAACCTTGTCTCCCTAATGAGTACATATTGTGGAGTCTCCACTGTTGGAAGCTTTGAAGAGCAGGGTTGATAAAACACTTGTCTTGAAAGGTTTAGATAGAGATAATCTTGCTTGAGCAGATGTTTGGACTAGATGACCTGTTGAGGTTCCCGTCAGCTCTATCTTTCTGTGATTTGCTATTGCTGTTAATGGAGGTTAAGAACGCTCAGCTTTCTTTAGGATCAAAATTAGATTTATAAGTCAAATGAGTGGATCATCCTACTCCACCTGTTCCACATTAAGACCTTAAAAATCCCTGTGCCTGGCCAAAAGAGAAATCTGCCTATGCAGAAGAGTGGAAACAATCATACAGCTGCTTCTCAAAGGCCCTGCCAGGCTGCAGTGTGATAGAACATAGCTCTGGAGATTCCTGGTGGGGTTGCTGCTCATGGAGCAGTACAGGTGCTAACATATATACACATGCATGTACATATATATACCACTGCTAACATATATACACGTTGGCATCCTTTAATCTGTGAGAGATGGTGGATATTGCAGCCTACGATGTAGATATTTTGCAGTGTCTCATATCTTAGACTCAGCTACATCTAAGATAATCTAATATATACTGGGAGTCTCTCAAATTAGATGCTGAGAGGAAGAGCACAGAAACATGGCAGGTTGATGAATTAAAAGATGGCTGACCTTTCAAGGTAGAAAATATAGATGGGACTTTAAAGAAAATAGAAAATGGTAAGGGATCCTATACGTTGCATTATGTATTTTAGAAGATGTCAAATACTGACATGACAAGGATGTGACAATTCTCATGAGTAACTAAACAATGAGAGAGTAAGTTTTATTTGTTACAATGCTGACCAACATTTTGTTGAAACACCACCACCACCAAATGGACTGGTTGTCCTAGTGCTATGTTGCTCCTCAATGTATACTGCTGTTCTTGGGAGTTTCTTCTGCACTCATGGTATAGAAAATAGTCCCAAGGGAAGTATTATAAAGAGGCTGTTGCTCCTATAAACACCAACTGTAACATTCTTCCACCTTGCTGCTATGGAAATTAATGGGAGGCGGTACGGAATTTGCTGGTTTAGTAAGAAAAAATGTCTTCAGGTGGAATAGATGCTTTGTAAAATAGAAGACATAATTTATTTAGTGCAGAGTTAGACAGTGAGCAAAATTTTGGGGGGGCCCAGATTAAACGACACATTTAAATGTGTATGTAACATTAAAAGGACAATTAGTTTCTTTCAAGTCAGTAGGTTTACTTGCATGTGTTCTGGTACTCAAGGGAGACAAAATAAATATGAAAGTTCTGATGTTGAACAATACAAAATTATGCAAGCTTTAAACTGTGACAGACCACTAATTATTTTTAAAAAGCACTGTATGTAGTATTAAGGGAAAGTGACAAGAAAATACTAGTTTTTGCTTAGAAATAGAGGTTAACTTCATTGTCCTGTTTATATTTATATCAAGATAGTGCAAACTCTTGGGGGAAGAAAGCATATCTTCAATCCGTGTTTGTACAGCACTTAGAATGATGCAGTCTTGGTCCATGACTGGCACGCTAGACCTTTCTGCAAAAAGTAATAGTAATAATACTTGGAGAATCACGGGTGCTTAGAATGGAGAATTCCAGAAGAATGGTATATTCTATGTTCTATGTTTTCTGGGATTTAATATAAAAAAAAAGCATCTATATTTGTTGCATGCAGGATTTTGTAGGGACCTATACCCCACCCTTATTGGGCTTGAAAAGGGAGGTGGTTAGGGTTAGAAGTTAGCTCAAGCTGATCAGTAGTGCCAAATGGCACCACTGGCTCAGGGCCCAGCTTGGTTCTGCATGATATCGGTGTGATAGCCAATGAAATCAAATGAAAAAAAAATAAGAGCAACACCAATCATAATAATATAAAGCTGCTAACATTTATACACATGGGCATCCTTTCATCTGTGAGAGACGGTGGATATTGCAGCCTATGACGTAGATGCTTTGCGGTATCTCATGTGACTGGATAGTCCAGGCTGAGATTTCCATGATCTGTGGCAATGTTTGCAAATGTATGTGTCATGGTTGGGTGGTTCGGGAGCTGCTTGCTTCCTACGACCTCTTTTCTCCTCAGCTGTTGGAGCCAATTTCTGTCATAGACTTTAATGCCCTGGTGGAGATGATGACACCACTTGTTCTGATGAATAGATATACACACACAAGGAATACATCATTTGTATGATTGATTAGTATTGTGGAGCCCCCTATGGGTTCAACAACTCTAAAAGCCACTCATCAGCTGGGTTTCCAGAGCTGCACACTAACCAACAGGCCGAAGCTCTGCTCTTCTCCCTCCTTACTTCACAGAGAGGCACACAAAATAAGGCTTCTTCACAAATAGGCACTAGGTCCTGGAAGAGTACAACAGCTGCTCTCACAAGGCAGTCAGACTCAGGTCTTACCATTACATGGAGATCCCCAGATCTCCATGGATGAGCAAGGACAGGAATGAGGACAGCAGAAGGCCGAAACGTGGAGGTTGTCCCTCTCTCAAAATAACAAATGTCCCTGCCTGTTCTTGCATCACAAGGCACAAATAAAATTCCTCGCCACACACAGAGTCCCCTCACACAGGTCTCTTGCCCCAGCTCCTTTTATAGTTCCACATACTTCATATCACTCCATTCAATGTTGTCCAACCAAATCATGTCTGCCACTTGTCACTTATAGCAGTTAGTTACAATCCTGCTGTCAATCAAGGTGACTGCTTGCATTTGCCTGGGGATTTCCCATCAACTTAACTGCACATGCTCTCACTTTCCTGAGTGGTTCAAATACATTAAAAGGTCATCTTCTTCTAGAGGCTTCTGAGATGGTTAGTTGTGCATGCTCCAGGGACTTCTATTACTACATAGTTAACCATACAATTGCTGGATTAAATTTCTCAAACTGCATATTCAACCAAAAATTTAAAAACCAAAAACCAAAAGGAAGATAAGTTACTGGAACTGCTGTTTTCAAGATTCTGCCCTTGCAGAGTTTTGAAAATACTATGCTCTGTTGCAATATTCACATAAGAGCTGTTGGACCCCAATCAGACTCTTATATTTGTGGTTGGCATTAAGTTGCATTTAGCGGAGCTGCTCACATCTATGAATAATGCCTCGTGATGTCTCCTACAATGAATCACAAGGTTATTAACCTTGGAGCATGGAATTTATCAAGGATCATTGTAGGAGGAAAAAAATCAATGGTAGACTTCCATGCACTACCAACGAATAAAGCTCCATCAATGAGAGGTCCTAAAACAATGTCACTATAGTAGATTTTCAAAATACGATGGTGTGTTTCAGGTGGGGGGCCAGTTCTACTAGGTTTTTTGGGATTGTCTCCTTCTTAGTTAGATTAAAATAAGTGGTGGTATTTCCCAAAATGCCACCTTTTTGATACCAGAATGTGTTATCACAGTATATTGTGCAGACTTCCCTTCTCACTCGTCTTTCTTACATGAGGAATAGATAGTAAATGATGTTGACATTTAACTCAAATGCCCAGTGACAAAAATGTAACACCTCACTGAGATAAATGGGGCAGTTTACATGTCTGTGCTATTGTTCCATGTTCTCTGCATATTTATATGGATATCTCTACATGGGTTATACTCCATCATAATTTGGTTTTCTTCACAACTATAACCGCTGAAGACATTTTTCCCCCCCAATGAAACCTGTGATTCTTCAGAATTAGATACTAGTTTATTCTAGATACCTGTGGTACTGCCTGGTTTCAAGGATTTTTTAAAATGAAATAGTAGTGGCTCTTTATCTTTAAAAGCACAGAGATTGTCTCATTAATATATGTGTATGGTCTATGGCTTCTACTGGAAGTCTTAAAAGAAAAATACAAACATGTTTTGTTAAAAACAATGGCTTTCCATTGTTTGGTTCCTGTTTCCATCTCTGCCAGTTCTGAAGCACTAAACGCCACTTCCATCTGGAAAAGCAGACAGGCAGTATCCCTTTGAAACCAGAATTCTCACTTTATAAATAATAGCAGTGAACAGATGCTTCCAAGGTTGCTTTTTTAGTATTCACTTCTTCTCTTACACTATATTTAGAAACTTTGCCAGTCAAAGGAGTGAGTGATTTCATTTTGGAATTCCTGTTGCCCAATATTTATATTGCTCACTGTCACCACAACACCTGATAGAGTTATAGTTGTGGAAGAAGAGCAATCATTATTGTTGAATATGTATTATTACATTTTTTTATCACTCTGTTTTTAGCCTGGGAGCAACAATACAGTTCTCCTGTGATGAAGACTATGTGCTTCAGGGTTCCAAAAGTATCACTTGTCAGAGGATAGCTGAAGTTTTTGCTGCATGGAGTGATCACAGACCTGTGTGTAAAGGTAAAGATACTTTCTTTTACTAGTATTAAGACTTAATAGTTTTCACAGTTCTTGTACCATGTTATTTTGCCCTTGAAATCTAATGATATTACAGTGACATGCATTTAAATATAAACAGTGTTTTTTCCACATTTCCTTACTTCCTTAATGAGGAAGGGGTCACTTTTCATAATGGATTTGGTTTAACTTGGGTGTTATGTACATCATTTGCTTATCTGTTTCTTGGATGACATCTGATAAAATGAACTGGTGATCTCAATTACCTTCATTTCTTTGAGTTGGAGCCTCCTTCAATACTTGACAGACTGATGGAAAGAATTAATTATAGTAAACATTTAAAGTGACAGCAATTAAGTGACTTATGCTAGAAAGGACAGGCTTCAAATTGGCAGTTATTTTGTATGCAATCAGTAGTTCATAATGAATTAGCATTGCCGATTTCAAGAAAGAACTTCATGAATATTTGAAATCCAAAAAGAAAGACTAGGTTTTTAAACATCTGATGGAAAGGTTAGAGGTGAGAATTTGGATTCTTTCTTGAACTCTGCAGCCCATAATAAAAGAATGTTTCAAATTTAAGCATTTTGGGTCAATGGGAAAGTGAACATTAATTGGGATATTTTGTTAGATAGCCACACTTTGCAAAGTATGTATTCTATTAGATTATATAATTTTATAAATTGCCAGGAAACTTAAACGACAGTATTGGCAAGAAAAGAGCATTGCATCTGGTACCTTATTTTGTCACTGTTCCAATGCCAGTTGTATGTTATTATTGTCACTTTTCTTTTACACTGAGAATCGATGCTAAAATTTAGTCAAATGTTATCAACAGCAGTGTTATAAACATCTGATGCATGTATGCCATTTAGGAAGTTCCAAAAGGTATTACCAATTAGCTAGCTTTTCAGTTAGATGGCCTTCAGTAACTGTTGGCAAATACATTTTTTCCCATTTCTGAGTGGTTTGTCTTCTGAAGCAGAGCAATAGATTCCTAAGGAAATTAGTATGAATTTAACAAATATAACAGTATAAAAGGAAACCAATACATGGGATTCATCCTTGAAATTCCAGAAATGGAATTGCAGTTCAGTCAGTTCATAAATTTTTGAATAGTAATGCAAAATGAAGAGGGAGCTTAACTGCCAAGGTAAACTATAGTTAAGCTAAAAGGTACAAAAGACGATGATTGTTTTGAAGGTTAGCAATGATGATCATCCCTGCATCTATATATAGTAATCATATTAATGAAATATCTCATAAGACACCATTAACGAACTCATGGATAGAATATGTAATTGATAACCTGATAGACAGTGTCATTCATTCACTTCTTTATGTTTGACTACTTAGTTAAAGTAGTACATTCTTTACGCAGAACAGGTGATGCATATTAAAAAAGTTATTAGCAATTAATATAGAGGCATATGGTGAAAAGACAAATAAACAGATGGTATAGACATGGCAGTTTGTCAAATAGTACATACTTTATAGTTTTCATTAGTTGCATTAAAAGCACTGATTTAAATGCCTTTGACATGATTTTATTTGTCCTTTTTATTAATGAGCAGATTTTATTAGACAAACTTATTAAAGACTCAAGAATGTAGACTTAATTTTTGCATACACTAATGATGATTGACAGCTTGACATCTTATGCATGAGGTGTAGAAAGAGATACTCCAAAGGATTAGTTAGAAGGTGCATCTGATGCTCTTTTTTGAGATTTCACCCAGCATCATTTTATGTCTTCCCTAGATATCAGCCCTATGAGTGTTTTCATTCATTTATATAAATGATCTATTTGAAAAAGCAGCTGAATTACACTTTTGAAAAATGGCAATTTGAATATCAACACTTAGTTACATTAATGTTCTGGGGTTGCACTGCAAAATTTTAAATTGGAAGTTACTGATTCTATTAGATGCATTTGATTCAGCAACATAAATCCTCACAACTTGTTCTCACAGGACAGATGAGTGGCTGAGTATAAATCTTCCTGCCAGAAATGAAAGATTAACTCACTTTAGGAGTTATCATATAATACCAGCTGGAACTGGCATAGGATCATATTCATGAAAAAGAAAGTTGGAATGAGTCTGAAGCATTTCTGCAGCAGAAATAAAATAGAACTCTGGAAAACGAATGTGACACATCACTTGCAAAATGAAGGCAAATATTGCAGATTATGAACTTTGTTTAGTCCTTAAGGGAAATATAATTTTAAAGTTAATATTTTCATAAGGAGGGGGGCATGAAGATGACTAATTTCAGAACCTGTTTGCCTCTGACAGGCCTCTGAGGAAGTGGTAAAGTTTATTGGAAGTCTTGATAACAGTGAATAACAACCAATAGCATAGCTAGGGTTGGATAAACAGGGTTCCAGTCCTGGGTGCTGATTTGAAAGAGGATACCAGGATGGCATCTCCTGGGATACTGGGAGAAAGATAAGGTGAAACTGGAACTTGAAGGGAAGTATGAATTGAAATATTGTTCTTCAGTATTTCATTGCAGTATGAAAGCATATTCAGCCTCTTTATCGTATGGATATTTTTTTTTTATGGATACTGGCCAAATTTTAAATCTTTCCAAGATAAGATCCTTGATGTGAACTTTACCCTCTCCAAATTTTGGTGATTTTTACATACAAGCTTTTGACACCAACCCATATCTGCTATTAATGAACAATATAGTGTTCTCCTACACTTTTTTTCAAGGCACTACTGTATTAAAGAGCTGCAACTCTTGAATGATGTATCACATAGAATATATTTTCATCTGAAATCTGGATGCATAGTCTTGCATACAAACAGTAATTCTGGAAATCATAAGATCTGTGGGGATGTTCAAATCTGAAAGGACCTAGCCTGACATTATAAAATAAAGCAGTTTTGGTCATCAATACCTCTTGGAATTTCAAGAGCTGTTCAGGATTAAAGAACATCTCTCGATCTTACAGACCGTTTTGTCTGAGTTTCAAGAAATGCATGTACTAACAGAGAACTCCTCCACCCCCCACATCTATTACACCATAACAGCCATATGTATTATGATCACCTCACCCTGATCTGGATTGAACCTTTGTCAACCTGGTTAAGTCCAACTCTTAATTGGGGCCAAACACTGGGAAACCACATATTGGGTATGTCTATAGGCTCATTAATGTGCTGTAAGAACTGTGCATTAAATTTAGCACTTGCAAAAGGAAGTACTAAATAAATGTGCAGTAGGCTGCCCTACTGCACATTACCATGATAGCACATTTTTTGTGATGGTTAATGTGCAGTAGACTAATACTACTGCACTTTAACATAATAGTACAGTTTTTACTGTGACACTGTAAAGCACAGACAATTAGTCTACTGTGCATTAAGCATCTTGTGTAGACATGCCCACAGTATACCGATGTGGTTCAGAAAGAGATCTGTGTGTAGTTTGCATACTAATGACAGATGATCTTACTAACTCCCTTTATCCTCACAAATATCTTGAATAAGAAAACAATAATGAAGAGCCTTATATAATGCTACATGAGTATATCTTAGGCAGAAAAGCAATTGCCTCAACCTGGGAATTTGGAGGAGGGAATAATAGCCCATTGCAAATGGTCTTTCTGCAGAAAAGAACCAGAGATAAGTTAGCAAACTTCCTAGAAAAGTACTCTCATGATAATCTACCCAACAAATAACTATCAAAAACACAAAGATAAATCCATGGTTGCTGAAATGACTAGAATGAGGTACTGGGTTCTTGAATAAAGACCTAATTATGAATCTTTTTTAGAAAGGTTAAATTCCTTTTAGATATCATGTCTTTTAATTAAAATATTTAATGGATTGCCATTGCTAACCTGTCTTTTGTGTTAATTTTTCAGAACAATAATGAATCAAACTTTTGACTTAGATTTGGTGTTTGAGGTGCTGACATTAATAACAAAGAAATTGTTTTTCTATGAAAGTTTTGATTTGGGTACTTTCCTTCAGTTACAGATGTTCAAAGATTATTCCAGATTAGCATTTCTGTTCTTGTTGTTTTGTCTAGCAGCTCTGCTTGGCAGTCTTATTTGCTGATTTTCTGAGTTTAGAGTTTCAAAAGACAGACAGTAACACGTGTGCTTGATACTTCATTATGGTTTTCTTGTTGTTATTCCTTATCCTCTAATCTATTTTCCCCATGTATGTATTCTGGTAATATATCAGTTTGTTCATTCTGTTGCTTTATGGAATCAGTGGTATATAGGGCACTCACTGAATGACTGGAGGGGGAGAGGGGAGCACCATTATGCTTCCCCCACTCACCCCCACTCCCACATACACTATTTAGTGCAGCACTGCACTGCTCAGGTCCTGTGGCTGGGCAGAGGCAGTGTAGGGCTTCCCTCACTGCTTCAAACCCTCTTGGATCAGAGGGGGTGGAGGGAGGTGGAAGGTCTTCTCACTTTCTTCACCACTCCTACCCTCCAGATACACTGATTGATGCAGTACAGCACTGCCTAGTCCAGCTCCTATGGCCAGACAGGAGAAGAGCATAATTTCTCTGCTGCAGTAAAGACTCCTGGCAGGAGGGGTATCTTGGCACTCCTTCATAGTTGGTGCCTGGGAGGCGCCTGTCCTAGCTGCCTGCGGAGGGTTTGGGATTGAGAGTATGGTTGGGGGTAGAAAGGTAAAAAAGGTTTATTGACTTAACAAAAACACAACTACGCATAGTAACAAGACAAACAATGACAGACAAAAGCAATTTGCGTTGGCAACTTATCGGCAGTCCCCTTTGATGCCTGATACACAGCAAGTTTCTCTTTCCACAAAGTTCAGCAAAGTCAGGTGTCCCCAATCAGCGCTATCCAAGGGGTACTGGGAAGGGCCCTGGAATGTAGTTCTTAGGCTCCTCGAGGTCCACGGGCCCACTGATCCAGGCAACAGCTAACTAATCCTTTCCACAGAGCTGTATCTTCCTTCAGAATGATTTCCGGATATTCCAGCCAATTTAAAACTTCTGAATGG